CGAGTAGATTGATTCTTTGTTTTTATCTAGAATAGATTGTTTTAGGAAAAAGACCCTGGTACAGGGGCCCTGTAATACAGGGGGCCGAGCTAGCCCCCTGTGATAGGTTGGGGGTTGACATGCTCAGCCCCCTATATTACAGGGGTCTATACGTGGAACAGGCCCCATCTTTTTATTGTGGTAGATCCATATCGCAAGTCTTGCCTCGAAAAGGACATAAAATAATCCGGGATAGAAAATAAAAAATCCTAAATTTTTAATGTCGGAAAACCGCAACGCAACTGATCTATGGTTGCTTATCGTGACCAGATCTTGGAATCAACGGGTCACTTCTAACTGTGGTTAGGCTATGGTTTGCAAACAGCGGTGTAACCCCCAACTTTCCAATTTTTACACTTTGGTCCTTATTCTAAGTTTTTATTTATGATTTTGGGTTTTTTATAAATATCTTCAATACTGATCTCACAACTTCCAAAACCTTCTAAAAGTATGCATGAATCTAGCTACATCGTGTTGGGAATCTATTTATACATGCACAGCGAAAAATTAAAATTATTTCGATTCCCACCGAGGATCCCTTTATGTTTAGATTGAAATCGTGATAAGATTGTACCTTTTCAATTCTGCAAACTTCTTTGCTATTCTTTTCGTTCCAACAATCTTGATTCGTCACCCACAGCTGTCCAATTGTCCAGCCTCCAACGGTGATCTACACAGAGAATAAGATTGCAGCTAACAGGGTTTTCCTCTTGTGCCAGCAAGAATAATGAAAACCATATGAATTGAAAACCCTAACCTTTTATTTATATAAGCCCAAACGGGTCTGACCCGTTCCGGTCCAATATTTAATTAAACAATTTAACTAAATCCGGTCCATGAATTAATTAATCCAATTAATTAATTCGGGCCTATAAATAACCAACCCAATTAATTAATTTATCTAACGATTGTTAAATTAATTAATTGATAAATTGCAATCTTTCAATTTTCTTTTGTGTGTGACTCATCAGGCTCCCGATCACGATGTCTAACGACGTGAAATATTATTTTGATCTAATCAAAATTTGATAAATTAAAACACCCTTTTAATTTATCGTCAATTCATACTCGTTGTCCCTGATTGACATCTAGCAATGTGTCAGGGCAATACATGTGACGGGAAATGTCATGTGGTGTGACAAAACCAAACTCGTTCATTTACCGTGAAACTATAATCCCTTCGTCAATATGATCCGATCAACTATGAGATATGAAAGTGTGTCAATCTCGAATGTCGATCATATCTTTCACTCCAGTATTAAATCAATATAAGTCGAAAACTTCTTTTCGACTTATGAGTACACCTTGGCCAAGGATTTCATCATTGACTTAATTGAATGAAACGCAGATCATAATCTCCTACTATCTAAGAGTGACGAATCCTTTATTGATCAATCACAACCTTTATACGATTCTTGACGTACCCGAACGATGTCGTATTAGCGGTCATTTTCAGAGCAACATCCAATATTGCCAAAGCATGACCGTCCTCATATAAGGTACCATGACGACCTCAAGTCAAAGGACCAATTCCACTACCGAATATTAGAGATTAACCATTGACACTCAGATAGTTATCCATGTGGAATTTCTCGGCGGGTCTCCAATGTTATGTTCTATAACAAAACATCCACGTGTTCATTTAAGTGTCACCATACTTTAACTTGTGAGATCAGCTACTTACTTCACAAGTAAGAAATTTCACACGTGATGATCTATCCATAATAACGATATCCGTATCTCGTTATTACTTACGACCATGGATGATTTAAGATTCAGTCAGATGTAATTTGTATCTCACAATCACAATTCCTTGTGATTAACAAATTACGGAGGTTTGAATCTTCAGACTCTATTATTTATTTAATTGTCTATTAATTAAATAATAGATCTGCCATTAAATTGCATTAATTATATATCAAAAGTATTTATGTCCAAAGTTGATTGGACCTAGGGCATAATTCTTACACATCGAACTAAGCATATTTAAAGAGGAAAATCTCCAAATTGATCACACAATCACACCAACGCTAACACTACTCAAGAACATGCCCAACGTACTACTAAAAATTGAAAAAAAAATAAATAAATAAATATTGACACTGAAATCGTAATTTTTACTATTTAAATACAATTTTCAATAATTGTTACAAAAAGAGGGGTCCAACTACTTCATTTATGAATTTCATAGTAATAGAAATGCATGTCCTACCGAGACGAAATATGTAACTTGCTCTGAAAATTGGATTCACGTAATAGGACAAAGATTTCTCATTCTTTAGCCGGAAAGATATGTGCAAAACAAAGTTTAGAAAAGAAAAAAAATGATAGGTGCAGAGACTCAATGGAAGCTATTTTAACAAATGGAGGGGAGTGCGTTGGTAGAGGAATTTTTCCATCGAAAATCATCATATTTTTCAATCAAAAAAATGAACATATTTTTCAATCAAAAAAATGAAAGCATATCAAAAATTAACTCTCAATTGACAAATACCACTTAACCCTTGTTTGAGCCTCATTTTTAAGAGAGAATGTGTTTTGAAATAATGATTTTTTAGAGAACGCGTGGTTAAAAAATAAGAAAAAGAATTTTTGATTTATGCGTAAAATTTATTTTTTGAGATAATGTAAGGATGAAAATGAAATTTGAAAAAATGGAGTCCAAACGAGGGATTAATAAATATTCTCGATTTTGGAAAAAATTCAAAATTTAACCAAGCTAAAAAAATATTTTTATGCTTTCTACAAATTTATTTTAATCATTTTATAAACAAAAATAAAATAAAATAATAATAACTATCTAAAAATTAATTTAACTATACAAAAAATCAAGAATATTTTCACGCGTCAGAAGCAAATCTAATTTTTTATTTAACTATCTCATATGCGCCAGCCAACTACGCATTTACCCGTTCGTTTTTTTTTTTTTTCACATGTTCCAATAATTTTGACATTCAAAGTTTATTTATGTGGTAAGAATGTAAAAATTTCATATTTAACATTGTGTTTGAGACAATAAAACATTAAACTGAGAGTGAGGATGAAAAATTAAGTTTATCTTCTTCAATTTTCCTCAATCAATTTTAAAAGTGGAAATTACACTAGCACAATTTTTTAAAGATTACAATTCAAAAAATGGGTCGAAGGTTTGTTTATTCAAAAATTAGGTGATAATTCTATATTTTAATATTAATAGTAATATATTTTAAAATTAAATTATGCACCACCCTCTAACCATCCAAAGCCAAATTGAATCCCAATTCTCAGCCCTCCGGGGCATATCCAAGTTGGCAAAGGACGGGCATTGAGGGGCTCGCAACCCCAGCGTGGGGAGTCCGATTCCTGGTTGGAGCAGCTAAGTGAGGTAATAACCATTCTTGGTTGGAGCAGTTTAGTGATGTAATAATCATGGAGGAAGGCTCCCTTGGAGCTAGGAGTATAAAGGATGCACGGACCCTGGTCAACTTGGGCATATACCGCGATTTATCTCCACTAGTCACCGAGGGGCCGGGGGCTAGGGGTCCAGGATTTAGTCCGACGAAGCTGGGACACCTGGGTTATCAAAAAAAAAAAAAAAAGAATCCCAATTCTCTCTCTCTCTAACATATCATTCTCTCTCCCTTATCTATATTAATATCTCTCTCTACTTTCTCTCTTTCTACCATTTTGGCTCTACACTCCTTTTTATACCATTTCTTCTCTATCTTTCTCGAAGCAGGAAGCATAAATAAATTTCTAAGATTACTTTCCCAAATTTTTTATTAGGGCTCAAATCGCCGTTGAAGCGATTTTGTGGTGGTTTACAACAGTTTATATGGTGGTTTCTGGTAATTTTTATGGTGGTTTGCGACAGTTTATGTGATTTTTTTTGTGGTGGTTTTGCAACGATTTTGTGGTAATTTTTAAGGCATTTATGGTGATTTTAAAGTGATTCGTGGTGATTTTAAGGTGGTTTTTGAGGTGGTAATGCTTGTGATGTTGGTGGTCGCCACATATTCATAGAGTGTATGTCAAATGCTATGTTGATATTTATTGGTGGTGCCATGAGTGGTGATAAGTCATAGGTCACATGTATCATATCACAAATTATTGTGCATTAGTCATATATAAATATTCACTGGTCACAGATTAAATAAAACTGATCATGGATCATATTTATATGTCACAAGTCACAGGTCATATTTTATAGATCACAGGTCAATAGTCATCGTGTATGGGTCACAGGTCAATGGTCATCATGTATGGTCGTAGATCAATGGGCACCGTTTTTGCATCACAAATCAATTAAAATTGGTCACATATCAATATCCACTATGAAATACCGGAAACAATTCAATTTTCAAGGCTCTGATATCAATGAACAAATTTACAACATTCTTTATCAAACAAATCTACGTTCAGGAATTTCTTACCTAAAAGAGATTAAAATTCCCAACCCATTGCTTCTCTAACTTCTCTCCACTCCAATAATCCCAATCTAATCACAATGGAAAGAAATTATTATTTACAATAAAAGTTTCTAATTTTATGAGCTTTCATGTCAAAAATTGTGTTTCTAAGCACTTTACAGTTTTGGTGATATTTTTTATACGAATTTCACCATGTTTATTGCCATCTTGCTTTCCTAGACAAGAATGGGAGGTTATATAATAGTTAAGGTTATGGGGAGTTATATAAGTGAATTTCAAGTCAAACTTCTTCTTACAATCTTTCGATGTCTTGCGGGTCGAATCGCCACATATGGACGACTCACGACTCATATTTTTAAACAATTAATATATATCTTAGACTGAAAACATTACCAAACCTCACACTGAAAAGAACTAAATAAAAAGAAAATCCAAATATTCGTAAAGCTTTTATCATTCTTCTTTTCCATGATTAGATGGTATAAAGTTCCCATATGATTGTTTTCCTCCGGAGACAAACTCGCTTATAAAAATCTCAATAAACGAACAAGAAACACGAATGAGAACTGGTCAAATTGTTTTCAGCTCAAAATGTATTCATTTCATCCAAAGGTACAAATCACTTCAATAGTTACAGAAAAATAGGAAATAATTCAATAACGAGCCACCACTAAGAAATTTATTTGCATGTTTTGTACACAAATATATATTATTTTTCCTTTTTCCAATTCTACATGGATTCATCAAATGCGGGTGATACTACGCAATGCAAGCCTCGAGGGACGATTTGGCAAGCCACAACAAGCCTGGATCATTTCGCTTTAAGACTAGAAACGTTTCCGCCTTCCCAAATTCATCAACCTCTACATGTTCACAGAACCCAATCATTGCAAGAATGTCCATAGCAGCTGCATAAACAAGTAGATATTGCTAATGAATATGTAACCTCGTACAAATAAAATGTAACCCTTATCTTACAGAAGGAAAAGGATAAAGTGATACGGTACATGAAAAGAAAACAAATTCTACATTCAAACCTAGTCGGCTTAAATCGATACGTAAAATATCGCAAATGCTCTTAGACATCTGAATATTTTTACTGGAGCCCTCACTAATCCTAGTCCCCTTCAAACTCTAAACGCGGAGAGTGTGTGTTTTCACTTTACATTTGTTTAATTGTTTGTGGGTGTTGGAGGGTTGGGATCAAGTAGAGAATAAAGAGCAATGCGGAAAAAAACTACCCAATAACACATTTTCGCATTTCAAGTCTACTAGTTCATCCAATGACAAACCGACGACAATGTAACGCATATATAAGCCCATGTTTGATTTAACTAAAAAAAGTTGATAAAAATTTAAATCGAAGTCTTCAATTCATTTTAAACACATTTTATGAGACTCATAACTTTTATCTACTCTTCAATCACACATTTCATCAACTTCTATCAAAATCTCCTAACAATCTAATTTTTAGCTAAACTAAATAGGGTCTAAATGTAAAATTAATGAGCAGCTGAGTTTTTACCTTTGTAATTAATAACGTTCCTTTGTATCGTGGCATTAGACTGCAGCATATCATCCAAAACAGCCAAATTTTAAGTTAAAACAGTAACCATCCGATCTTATTACTGACATTTTAATTATTACTGTGCATAATCTAAACGTACCTTTCGCAATTTTCTGTATTTCATTTCATCTGGATGTTCAATCACATTACTGCATGAAATTAACTCAACACCTCCGTTAGAAGTTAAACATCTAAGTAAAGAGATCTACGAAAATGATTATTCGAATTTCAAAGTTTTACCATATTATCTTGAACAGAGTTTTCAGAGAAATCATGCCACCCGAAGGTTCTACTTCACGTCTGAGAACCTCGATTGCATTTTGCAGACGGCCACAAATAACTGTAACAGGGTCTTGGATTCTCTGCAGTTCCAGGTCATCTGGATCAGGCTCATCGGTTAGACTCCTTGAAACTCCCTCCCAAGCTAACATGTTATCATTTGAATCAGGCTGTGTTGGAGTGATTTCTTCCCTGTGAGAATCATCTGGATCAGGCTCCCTGGGAGCCTTATTTACATAACTAGGTGATTCCATGCTTTGTGGTGTAACAAAGTCCGTTAGATCCGTTCTTTCAGAATTTTCAAATTTCATGTAACTTTCTCTCACACCAAAATCGTCGCGATCATGTTCCAGAGAAGTAACCAATGGCCCAGGTGTAGCTTTGTTCAAAAAATGAACTTCTGAGTCATCAGAATCAAGTTCGTTCAGTATTGCAGTTTTTTCTGCAAAAGAATCAATATCCATGGCTTCATCACCTTCATTATCCCCAGCCCCTGAAACGTTAATGCTTCCCTGCACAGTCTATCATGATATCTCATTAATTCTCCATCTGGGAGTTGAGCAATGTTCTTAACAAATGAAAGTTATTAATATTCCAAGTACCTCGGGAGATCTCAAAAGTGATGTAGATGTGTTAGCTAAACGTTTATAAGCAGCAGCCACAGAAGATATGCGAGCATCAGGAATAATAAATGCCTGCCCTCCAAGCTTTTGTGATGTACTAACATTATTATTAATGGCAAGCTCCTCTTCATAATGCGGCAAATTTCTAACTCTGCTCAAGGTATGGCTGCTTGATTTAGTCCAATCAAGAGTAGCAGCTTCCTTGTTAAGCTGTCCAGAGCAAACGTTAACTCAAAACATATTCGCCAAATATATTCTAAGAAGAGGTGTCTCAGAGAAGATGTACATGTTCAGTCACATCCTATGTTGCTATAACTCGGGCGCAGGTGTCTGATACATATCTAGGATTCAAATCCTTTTTCTAAAACCTAGGATAGTAGGATATGAGAACATGGCTGAAAAGGATCCAATATTTAGCCCTTGCATGATGGAGCTTTTTCGAAAAATCACTTATATTTGGTTTGTGTATGGGTCCGAACTTCTATGACAGCTTGATGCATGTAATTGACAAATGTCACTGAAATACCCAAAAAATGTCCTGTTTTTGAGTCTTTTGGGGAAACCGTGATGATGACAAATCCGTCTTCTAATAATTTAAATCAAGGCTACCAATGAGCCGTGTCACAGAGCGCTTCAGGGGTGGGTCAATTGGCTGAATTTTAATTGACAATTTGAATGGTCAAACTAGCAAATAATCTGTTATTTTAGCAATTCATACGGACTTTAACAATGTGTAGATACATCTTACAATTTCTAACTCTGCTCAAGGTATGGCTGCTTGATTTAGTCCAATCAAGAGTAGCAGCTTCCTTGTTAAGCTGTCCAGAGCAAACGTTAACTCAAAACATATTCGCCAAATATATTCTAAGAAGAGGTGTCTCAGAGAAGATGTACATGTTCAGTCACATCCTATGTTGCTATAACTCGGGCGCAGGTGTCTGATACATATCTAGGATTCAAATCCTTTTTCTAAAACCTAGGATAGTAGGATATGAGAACATGGCTGAAAAGGATCCAATATTTAGCCCTTGCATGATGGAGCTTTTTCGAAAAATCACTTATATTTGGTTTGTGTATGGGTCCGAACTTCTATGACAGCTTGATGCATGTAATTGACAAATGTCACTGAAATACCCAAAAAATGTCCTGTTTTTGAGTCTTTTGGGGAAACCGTGATGATGACAAATCCGTCTTCTAATAATTTAAATCAAGGCTACCAATGAGCCGTGTCACAGAGCGCTTCAGGGGTGGGTCAATTGGCTGAATTTTAATTGACAATTTGAATGGTCAAACTAGCAAATAATCTGTTATTTTAGCAATTCATACGGACTTTAACAATGTGTATATACAACTTACAAACTAACCCCCCCCCCCCCCTCCCTCTTTTTTTAAGAAATTAAATGCACTGACAATTTTAGATGCATTTTTCAGAGATATATGTAATATTTCATGTTTAAATTTAGAACAACTTAAATTGCAAATTGCAATACTTAATTTAATCGATGAAGTGCCCAAGCAACATGGGTCACACAAATCTACAAATAAACATATACATAGACAAGGGAGGCATGATTAGTGGCAAAATACCTGTTTATCTAGAGCATAGAATCTTGCATCATGTTCAGAATACACCATGTGTGCCTAAAACAGATAACAATTACAATGAAAAGTAAGGGTCATATATTCTATGGAAGTTGAAAGAAAATAAGAATGAGTAGACATACTATCTTTTGTCTTATAGCAGAAGAAAATAAAAATGGCATACCAGTTCGTGCAGAAGAGTCTTCTTGATGCTTTCATATTTCCTGAAACCCTTGAGGTCATCAGTTCGAAGTCGCAGTGATATTTCTTCTCCATGATTCTTTACATAATTTGAAAACAAGTATCTTTTAGAGAGTAGAAGAGAAGTATTCAACTGAAAAGGGGAGCTCATAATACTCAAGAAAATGTAAACATTTTTTTAAAATCAACATCCTCACCTTGTTGACACCAAGGATACATTTAGGACTCACACCAACAAAACCAACTGGTGCCATCTCAGTCAAGATGCCCACCCGCCATCGATGCTTTAGGAAGCCAAATCAAAGTATAGCTTGTCAGAACTTACAAAAATATATGATAGACTATGATTATATAATTAAATGAGTCAAAATGAAACCACAAATAAGTATACCTTATTCATAATAGCAACAATTCCCGGATCTGAAGCAAGCATATGCAATAACTTCAAGGCCTCTGATGCAGGAGGATTTAGCTGCAGTAATAGGGTTGCAAATTGGTCAAATTCATTACAAAATTATATTTAAGACATAAAAAGCAAAGATGTTTGAAGATTTGACTTTTCTTGTTGACTAGTAGCCTTTCGGGGACATTAGGGAATATTTCCATAGTGTGATTGTGTAACATATTCTTCCTCTTTATTTGTATGAGACATATTAAGGTAAATATTTACAGGTCAAATTATGATATGTAATTCATATGGAAGATTACTGTAGCTAGATGTAACCTATTCCGGTAATTTGTAAACCCTATAAAAACCGGAACTTTCATTTCTCTCTCTGTAATTCAAAAGATAAAGAGTATTACAAGGTTTACATTTTTCCAAGTTATTTTTATTCCATAGTTTTCAGGAAAAGTAAATCAGTTTACACTAAATTAATTATAACACGCAACCTTCGATGGGAATTGGATAACCTCTCACCCCTAGCATGTAAAATACTATATAAAACTTGCTTTCTCAACAAAACTTCAATGGTCAGGCATTTAATGAATCATGCATGAAGTCAACAATATCAAGAAGCCATGAATCCTTTTAAAAACTCTTTTTGGTTCCTTTCTAAATCTCCTAGAAATCTAAAGCAAACAAGTCCTTTGAAACTGTAATAGACCATTAGCATCTTCGGCTAAGCTTAAAAGGTGCTTTTAATCAGAGATGCTCTACGTTAGCCTTGGTCCACCCTCCCTCCTATGACAAAAATATCTTAGGTCTACAGTAAACATGTCACCATTTCTACCAGGGGTGGAGCCCGGGGAGGAAAAGTTCTTCTTTGCACTGGGCTAATACATAGAAGAAAAATAAAATCCCAGGCTTGGGCTCCCCTGGGCTAAATCCCAGGGCTGCCAAGCCCTATCTGTCCCTGCAACTAACATTTCCTTTATAGTCAATCGGTAAATCATAAACCAACATGCAGTTTAAAATCGTATTACCTTCATTATCTCAGTCAGTCAGCCTACGCAAAAATTGTCATGTACTTTTTCATAACCTGAGTTTACCTTCCCCAATATCATCATTCAAACCTCCCATACCGAAGCTCTGATTTTACCAAGGGATTGCCTGAATCAACCATCCATCTGTTGTTTTGTTACCTCATCTAGTTCTGTATGTGGAGCATACTCACTGATAACATTAATAGACTGTTCGGTCATACTTTGCCTACACTAATTCTATTCATATCCTTGCATGTGGACCAAAGATTATATTTAGTATTCCCTGATTCTTTTACCTTGTTTTCTTCCAATTTGAACTTGTGTATGCAAGTTATACTGACTTCCCTTCTATGCATCATAAGTACTAGCTCTTTAAGGATCTTTCTTTGAGAGTCCTCATATTCTTAGTTCTGATAAATTATATTATTCTCAACCAATTTATTTACCTACCTTCGCCCATCTGAACCCAGAAATGATACATTGCAAGACCCAGGAATCCTTGCTTACTTGTCGACACTTCCTAGTGCCAACGAACACTTGCTCGCTTTTCACTACACCCTGGATTCGGTGCATCATGTCACTTGTGTAGGGCGCTACCAACGAAATATATATTAGGATTCTTATAACATGATGAAGTTCTACACTGGGAAACCTACCATAACCCTCAATATACAACCACTACAAATAAATGAAGATCAATTCCCTTGGTCACTCAAGTCGTATTGTTTGAGTAAATAACTTTCTTATGAGAAACACATGAAATAATATTAGCACCTCTGAAACAACTAATTCAGTCATGATATCATATGCAATTATGTCGTCTGGAATCTTTTCCAACCAGGTCGTCTTTTTTTGCACAAAATCTAGTTCTTTTTCCTAAATTCAATCATAAAAAAGATTTAAGCCAGTACATATAGTTACAGAAACCACAGTATCTATCTCATAAATATCAAGTGTCCTTAAGATTTAGCTCTATAAATAATTTCCAAAAATATGAACATGAGTTTTAACCACCTCCACGAACTACAAAACCCTCATAATCAAATATTTTGATCCAGAAGTTCATAAAAGATAGCAAACATCTAGTGCTCTATGCAGAGATGAATAAGAGTCAACTATACCTGTATTCCTGGAATACTAAGTGTCTGAAAATCAGAAAAAATATAATTTCCTTGAGGAAGTTTCAGCAATGTATGGCGCCCATCTGACATTCTTTGCTTCAACCTCTCTTCTTCTTCATCAAATCCAGCTATCCTGAGGTCTGCCTTCTCATTTTTTAGAACTTCATCGACTTCCTCTGTGGACACACCCATCATCCTAATAGATTTGGCCTGAAATGCAAAACATGAAAACACTTCTCACCAAAAGAAAAATGCCTTCACATGAACATCTCATACTAGAAACTCTATACATGGACATTAGAAAAATTAAGGAAATATGAATTTACTATTTTATCTTCTCCCACAAAGAAAAAAAAATTAGTACCCTTTGAATAAATATGGTGTAAACGGTGTAAAATCTTATAAAGTTTGATTATTATCTCTGCTTAGACTTACATCCTCTAAGGTCGCAGCCAAAATGTCCAGGCATTGGCCGTGAAAATCAGCACAGACAATGTGCTTTGGCAAGATGTAACTGCCTGCGACAGGGGATGCAGGCAGGCTGTCCCAACACGAAAATGAGGTTTTTAAAGTCAAAAACACCCGTTTTGAGAGGAATTATTACTGTAGACTGCAACCGGTTGTTTTAGACGCAAGTGGGTGCCAACTAGAGCAACTTCCAGGAAGCTGAAAAGTTCAACTTCACTACACAAGCTTGAAGGAAGCAACAAAGTTCAATTTGAAAACTTTGAAAGGGACATGTCAGCTTGCATAACAGTTGTAGAGACTTGCAACTTGCAACTTGCAAGTAAATATCAATTTGGCTACCACTTTGCACAAAGGAGGCTTGCAACTTGCATAAAGGAGGTTTGTAACTTGCAACCAATTATGGCCATTGGATCTAATTAAATCTTGGCCATTGATTACAACTTGTCTTCCAAGACATTGTCCATAAATTGATGTCTTAGCTCGTTTGTAAATCCTATGGAGTGATGAAGCAAACTGAGATTAATTTTGAGAGATTATAAAGTTTTTTTGTCCCATTTACACAAGGAGATTTTCCCAAACTTGTTCTCTAGTTCCTTTCCTTAAAGTTTCATTTTCTACTCAAAGTTACCTATATTTTAGAACGTTATCTCGTGGGGACAAAATTTGTGAAACATTAAGGCCGCACTATTCTAGTTTGTTGGAGGAAACAAAACTAGGTTAGCGACATTAGACTAGCTTGCACCGGCCTACTGCTTAGCAACATATCAAATACTGATCATCAAAAATTAATCAGAAACTTACATGAACCATTCTTGCTCAAAGAATAACCTCTAACAGAAACTTCCAAAGACAAACGAGAAGAGATACTCAAGAGATGTGGTAGCTTCAGAATAAACACAAAGACATTCGAAACAAATACAAACACAGGTCAGGCATCAGACTAGTTGGTGCACAAGATTTCCAATCAAAGCTCTTCCACAAAAATACAAGATTTCCCTCTATCAGTACTTCTGCTATAATTTTCATTGAACAATATCTTAAAATAAAATCCGTGCCTCTCTCTACCTGTCTTGCCGAACACCTAAATGGTCGACAATTGTAATGTCACTACCATTCCACTACCCAGCTTTGGCCAAGCAAATTATGTGCTTTCAATATAAATCAAAATCCTGTGCTGTGAGGTCAAACTCTGACCCAGTAATTTTTCTAAATGGATCAACATCCTAGGACAATCATGTTCGGGACAAAACTCAATGAGCGTATTTATCAGCCCACTCTTAAAGCCTAAAGGTAATCAAGTGCTCATTCCTCTTCGTAAAAAAGGTCAAATTTCAAAATTCAACAATACAATGTCATTTTAGAATTCTGCACACTAATTTTGGCACCTTAAGAACTGAAGTCGCTTTCAAGCTCAGATACGAGTGCTCCTCAGAGAAAGGGTACATCAACTTTGAACTTGCATCTACAGGAACAAGTAGCCGCAGGGTATCAGCTTTAACATGGGTGAGCTCCTGTAATTTATTCCCCAGTTCTTTGAGAGTAGCATCTGGGTTTATGTCCACAATAAATTTTTCCCTCCGCCATACGACTGAGATACTGTGGTTGTCTTGCTGTTCCATGTTCTGTACAAAAAAACTACAATTCATGTATAAGTAACATTATTTATTACACTAATATAACTTCCTTAAGATCCAAAATAGCAGAAATTATAAAGCTCCATTCTCGACTAAAATAAAAATAAAAAGATACTATCGACCTCAAAATTCTAAATCCTAAAACACCTCTCATAACTACTGGAAGCAAAACTTATGGAAGAATTATGATACGCAAAGCACTATTCATAGAAATAATGCACATCTTACTGCAAACATAATTTCTTCTCTTCAATGAATTAATTAGATTATCGATCAACCGTTCATAAGCTAAAAACAAAAATAAAATTTAAAATTCAACATATTGATTTCCACCTACAATGAAAACTGAACGCCCAAAAAACTTCCAAGTTTTTACAAACTCAAATCAAATTTATACCAGGAGATTTAAGAAAACTACCAAAAATTGAATTTCTATGGCAAATTAACAAATTATTAAAAATAACTAAAGTTGAAATATTACCTTTTTCTCTCTGTGCTACCGTAATTTGACCGATGATTATGATATTTTGCATTTTTGGGCATAAATACGCAATTTATATTGGAGTTCGGGTGCTAAATCAAAAAGCGGCGTATTTTAGAATCGGTACTAACGTGATCTGGGGGCGCTTACGTATGTGCTGGCGTGGATAGACCCGCGAATATTCTAGACAAGGAAATTAGCATGACCCAAAAAGAATGCATAAATGTCCCAAATCTTTAAGCTCCTGTTTGGCCCATTTTATGGAAATGAATGGGTAGAATAGTCTTTTTCTTTTTTTTTTTTTTAATGAGTAGTTGAAAAAAAGAAAAAAATTGATTTACGTGTAATATTATTTTATGAAAGATTGTGTGATTGAAAATAAAAGAGAAAAATGAAATGTAATGAAATTGAAATTAAGGAAGGAAATGAATTTTAGAATAATAGATTAATGGAGAATGTGTGGATGAAAAATAAAGAAACGTTTTTATTTACGTGTATTATTATTTTAATGAAAAATGTGTGGTTAAAAAGAATAGCAAGAAAAATGTGTTTTGATAAAAATGAGAATCAAACGAGACTTAAATCTTAGAGCCGATTTGATAAAATTTATTTAAAAATAATGAATTATTGAATAGTACATTTTTTAGAACGTATGACTAAAAAGTAAAAAAACTTACAAAAAGAGAGGTTACAGAACCCTCCAAAGAAGACACAGGAGGGTTGATTTTTTCGCACTATTTTAATCATATCGAGAGTGAGATTTATGTATCGATTCTATAAAGTCCATTTCTGTACAAAATGGATTCAAGCTTATTAGTTTGTTTGTAGAATATTTTATTGCGTAAATACGTAGTGAAAAATGGTATTGTAACAAATAATTTAAATTTTTAAAGGATGACAAATATGGGCTTAATAGATGCTCTAAAACTTTTGAAAATATGCATCTAGACAATTTTCGTCCAAAAATTCGTTAATCGACAAAAAGACAAGCATTATTAAGTCCCTGTTTGGCCCCCATTCAGAGCTAATTTTTTCTCACTTTTCAAGTGTTTGTGTGCCTTTCAATTAATTCTAACAACGTACAATTCCGCATACCGTGAAAAAATCGAAGTGACAGTAACCATATTTTTTAGTTCCCATTAATGCCTTTCAATTTGTGTGTGTTGGGTGGCATGTGTACATTTTCAAGTACAATCACGCAGCCCAATCGCAACGGCATTTCACTTAAAAATACGTTCTAACTCAATTCTGACCTTTTGTCATGGGTTATCATGTAGTTGTTGTATAAAAATGAGATTGGCTAAAAAAAAAAAAAAAGAAAGAAAAAAACAGAAAGACTCATTAAAATGAGTTACAAACGGGGCTAACTATGCATTTTTCACCTAAAAGAATTAAGTAAAAGGACACAAAAATAAAAAAGACATTAATTTTTCTTTTCCAAAAAGTTTTCCCCACCCCGTATGTGATATAACTCTCCACCATCTTCTGCCACATTCTCCAAAAGTTGCCACCACACTCCCCCCTCAACTACCACCACCCCTAAACGTCCAATCTCAAAACCACTACAATCCAAAACGAAGATCAGGGGCGGAGCTAAGAAATTCGTTTAGTGCGAGCACCATTTAATCAATGGCAAACTTTGCATTTTTTTATCATGTATTTAATGATAATAAAAATATAAAAGAATATTAATGAGGTGTAATTGTATCTATTAATTATGGATAGAAAACCTCTAAAGTTTGCATAAAACTCTAGTGGAGCAAAAAAGTTGGAGGATCTGTCAGGAAATCAAGGCTATATGTGCTAAGAACTTGAAGATAAAATGAAGGTTTTTGGTTCTGCTGTAGATCTGTGATAATGATTCAGTGTTGCAAAAAAATACAGAATGATTGTTATGAGTTTAAAAGGATGAATTTGGAGAATTTCGATCTGAATTTAATGGAAACAGATACTAAAATATGAGAAGGAAGAAGTAGGAGAAAAACATAAATCACTAGAATTGAAAATTTCTAATAGTCATTCAAAAAATGCCAAAACAACAATTGAAATATGCCAAAACAACAATGTGAAAAATTTTGTAACTGAAAACTAGTATGACATATAAGTAACACCCTAGGTCTAATCAATTTAGGTTGTAAACATTTTTAATATGTTTAATGCATTCATTTTAGCAAGATCTATTATTTTCTGAATTCAATATTGTGATGAATAATACTAGAGTCCGTAGATTTAAGTTTTAGTAATTTGTTAATCATAAGGAGTTGTGAATGTAAGACACAAAATACGTGTGAGTGGATCTTAAATATCCATGGTCGTAAGTAATAACGAGATACGGATATCGTTATTACGGATAAACTACCACATGTTGTATTTCTTACTTGTGAAGTAAGTAGCTGATCTCACAAACTAAAGTGTGGTGATACTTAAATGAACGCGTGGATATTTTGTTATAAAACAAAATATTGGAGACTCGCTGGGAGATTCCACATGGATAACTATCTAAGTATCAGTAGTTATTTTCTAACGTTCGGTAGTGAAATTGGTTATTTGACTTGAAGTCATCATAGTGTCTTATCTGAGGACATTTATACTTTGGTGGTATTGGATGTTGCTCTATTAAGGACCGCTAAAACGGCATTGTTTAAGTATATCAAGAATCGTATGAAGGTTGTGAGTAATCAATAGAGGATTCGTCGCTCTTAAATGGTAAGAGATTATGATCCACAATTCATTCAATTAAGTCGATAACGAAATCATTGACCAAAGTGTACTTAGAAGTTGAAAATGACTTTTCGACTCATATTGATTTAATTGTAGAATGAAAAATATGATCGATAATCGGAGTTAACATACTTCCATATTTCGTAATTAGTCGGATCATATTGATGAAGGGATTTATAGTCTTATTATAAACGAACGAGTTTGATTTTGTCATACCACGTGACATTTCCTGTCACACTGTCAATGATGTCCATCGGCCTTGTGTTAAAGTAAGATCGAGTTTCGCTTGGAAATCGGCAAGTTTCTAGTTTCCAAATAAGTGTACCTTTCCTCAAGAATCCGGTAGGTCAATTAAGACTCTGAAGTTGCCTAAATCTCTTCCTTATCTGCTGCGGGACAGCGAACGTGAATTGGTGATAAATTAAAAATGTATTTTAATTTATCGATTTTGATTAGATTAAAATAATAATTCACGTCATTAGGTATCGTGATTGAGAACCTGATGGATTGCACACAAAAAGAAAACTACAGGATTGTGATTTGTCAATTAATTAATTTACAAGTGTTAGATAAATTAATTAACTGGTTACTTATTTATAAGTCCGAATTAATTAATTGGATTAATTAATTTACGGATGGGATTTAATTAAATGGGTTAATTTATATATTCGATCGGGTCAGGTTAGGTCAAGACGTTTAGGCTTATAAAAATAGATGACTAGGGTTTTCAATTTGTAGAGAAATTCATTCTTGCTAGTACAAGAGGAGTAAACTCTAGTTCCAACAATCTTGTTCTCCGTGTAAAATTTCATTGGAGACTGGATAATTAGACAGCTGTGGATGGCAAATCAAGGTTACTGAAATAAAGAAAAAGCAAAGGAGTTTGCAGATCTAGAAAAATGTATAACTTTTATCACAATTTCTATATAAACACAAAACAGATCCTTGATGTGAATTGAAATTTATTTTATTTTCCATTGTGTATGAAAAGTAAATTTCCAACAGTGCTATCATAGCTTACTTTGTGCTTGTTAGGAATTGATTTACATATAGATGAAATCAAAAATTGATTGTTCACGTAGTTCTTGAATCTAGCAATTATAAAAAAAATTTCATGTTCAAAATAGTTTTGAAAACACAAAAAGGGGGGGGGGGGGGGGGGGGGGGGGGGGGGGGGGGGGGGGGGGGC